TATATATATATATATATATATATATATATATATATATATATATATATATAAAATTGGTGTCCATAACTGAAAAGGGCAACAAGAGGAAACAAAGCAACCAGAACAACAACTGGCAAGCAAGAAAAGGAAACTGGGTGAGAGCAGTGTGTCAACCAGCTCCTGATGTATATGTGAGATAGAGATTAGCGAATCATTTTGTAATCAAGTGTTGTTGGTACATTCATCCATATCACCAGTAGGATCATTTGGCTGCATGACTATTTTGGTGCAGAAGCTACCTGGATATCATGACATGACACGACACAGAGGTCATTCCAATCAGAAATAGATAACCATCTTGAAAGATGTACATCTTTGAACTGTAAGAGTGGATCCAATATGACTCCCCCTATCTCTGGGCATCATGAACGGAAGCTGGGCGGAAGGGGAACTTTACTAGTTGGATTCTCAAGACCGGTGCATCTGGTTTCTTATCATCGAACTTGTATCCTGCAAGATAAATTAGGAACTGTGCAATTAGAACCAAATTCGTACCATCTATTTTCCATTCATTTTATACACAACAAGGTAATCTTGCATAAGATCAACTAGCTACATGTAGCAGAAAAATACTTAAGAGTTCAATTTTATCTCAATTCAATAGAAACATGCCAATCGTATAAACTATTAATAATGCAAACTGACACCTGTATCCGGACTAGTTTCGAGTGTACCAAGTGCATAAAATATCAGGAACTTCTAGACAATCACAAACAGAGTATGAAAGTACCATGAAAAGTTTACCTTGGAGAGCTTCTAGTGCAGTTAAAGCACATTTGGCATTGTCAAACTCCACAAAACACAGAACTCTAGCCTTGTCCCCGGTCTGCTAGCAGTTTTCAGAAATCAAGTTAAATTGTTGAAAATATAAATCAGAATACTTAATCATATCTTTCTTTTGAAAACTTGCAACTACATTTTGAAAGAAAAAAGGTTATTGTAAGCTTATATTAAACTTGTAATCATATCTTTCATAGATTCACATGTGAGAAATTGAAACAGATACAAGGTATGAAATTTTAGATAGTCATTTAAAATGACACATTTCTGTTAGATAAATTATCATCAGTCATTGGAAAAAAACTATCATCAATCACATGAAGCGAAAAACAATATTTATATACCAACGACATGCCAAAAGTAACAGGACTTTTCAATTTTAAAATTGGTTATTGATAAATACAATAAGAAATAGTTGGGACTTACGGTTTTGTTGTTATTGTTGTTATTGTTGATAAACATAATAAGAAAGAAAAATTCACGTGGCCTAGTAGATTTGACTAATAAGGCAATTGAACAACTATAAATATTTTGGTAAAAACGTTCTACATTATGAATTTCCATTTGTGAATCCAATGTAATTACTTCTAAATTGTGTCATCAAAAGCAAGTACTTCATCTGCTTAGCATGAATGGTCACAAGTGGCTAGAGTAAGGTATCTGTTTGATAGTTTATAGTGATAATGTTCCATAATCCTACAAAAATCAAGGCACCAGAGAAGAACGTGATAACATTAACTTCAAATACAGGATAAATGTTACATCTCTGTTAATAACCCACAATAAGGATGATTTTTCTTTTTTCTCTTTTTTTTTTTGTGAATGGGATCAACTTCAAAAAAAAAAAAGAGTGGTGGTCAACCAAAACTTTCAAAAGAAGAAAAGAGGGGGGTAAAGGAGCATTAGCAATATGTTTTCGAAAAGTTATCTAATGCATTTCACGTTGGGCTTATATACAAGAAGTCAAGAATAAACATTTAAGAGTGGTACATATTGTAGATCCTGTCAGCATTAAGTTCAAAACCAAGCAAAGGATGGAAAGAAAACTTAGCAAATGTTGATTGGCTGCAGAAAGAAACACTCGAGTATGGTATGCAAGTTTTCATGAGTGCACACCCTCTAATCAACTTCATTACTTTGAATCCGAGAGTAAAACCACCAGATCATCAATCAGAACAAGGACATAATCTAGTTTGATATGAAATTAGAGGAACTAAAATTTTATGTTCTTCATCGCATGAAAATGGGCCAACAAACATATCCAGACCCATGGTAACCTGATCAGCCTGATTGGGGTGGGTTTTCCCTGGTTGGCTGGAGTTTGAGGAAACCCAATCTTCTATTAACAGAATAACGGCAGGATTGGCATATGCATTCTGCAATAGTGCCTTGTGTCAATTTCTTGCCATCCCCTCGCCCTCCACAGAATCCCTTCTAGTAATTAGTGTACCATTTGCTTCTTCCCCTCACAGTGTTCAGCTACATTCACTTCTCATATGTGCAAGTACCATCACTTGAAGATTGGCACATGGCAAGTTCTTCCAAAACACTCTACCGGTTGAAGGATCACCCCAACCCAAAATGGTAAAGGAAAGAAAACAAAATAAAATAGTAAAAGTGGATGGCATCAAGGAGAGGTAGGTGGCATTGTTTGCCTTACAACATCAGCCCTCTTCTCAACAAATTTGGATTTTGCCTTTCTTTTCTTTTTTTTTTGGTTTTTTTTGTGGCTGCTGGGACACCAACAGAAAGGAGTCTACTATTCCCTGTGGCCTTTAATATTCAATTACAAAAATACTGTTAGCTTTTGATTCTTCTGTTGGAATGAGAAACCCAATTGATACACAAATGTGAAAATAGGAAAGAAACAATATGTCGGCACATCTGGGAAGAATGGAGGAAAGCAAATACTGAAGAGAGAAGGGAAAATTGAGAATGAAAAAATCCTCAACTAGCTATCCTGCCTTATCATTCTTAACAAGAAAACATACTATACTTAATAGATGAAGATCTTTATACCAAATGACCTAAAAAAAAGGATATGTCATTATGTTGTTAAACAAAAGTTGGTAAAAGGTTGTCTTAACAGTGGATCAAGATAGAGACAATGAAGAATCTAGCATGGCTTAAAATTCCGAACTTCATATTGTGAAAGGTGTTATCGTGTCTTTCTCCAAAAATCTCAAGTTGAATTAAAAATACCAAACTTCAGATTGTGAAAGGTGTTATTGTGTCTTTCATTTAGAAAGGAAGATGCAGATAGATACAGAAGTAGAATTTTATGTCAAAGTTTTGGTTTTTACAGTACATAAATCTCTCAAAATCATAACCAGGATGTTACACATAAAATAATACATTGATACACTTTATTATTTGAAGCATCAATCCACTGGAAACTATCAGAATATAAGATTTGCACAATCTAATGCCACTTGCCTGAGGTTTTGAAACTAATCACTGTTAGGTTTGCTTGTTCCATAAGACCACTTATGGATATATAACACAAAGTTCCACATATATAAATAGCTCCAGCAAGAAAGGGTTTTTAGATTACTGAATGAATCAGGAAGGAGGAAAAAGTGAAAGAAAACTTTTAACTGAAACTGCAACCTGTTTGCAGACAAAAATATTATCTGATAGTACCATAAATTGATTTTAAAGGAATTTTCCATCGATTGTTGCAAATTGACTACATCAGCAAGTAGGAAAAGTTCTTCTACAGGACAATCAATCAACGGTAACCAATGACATCCTCAAACTTTTAATTTCTTGTGCACCTTTCTGAAGCTTTTAATAAAAGTAGAGGTAAAGATCAGGAAACATACCCGACGAGGCTCCTTGTGCACAACTCGAATTTCCTTGAACCCAATAAATGGGCGAAACAAGTCTTATAAGACATACTTAAGGATTAACAAAGAAGAAACAAAACCAGAATCATGAACCAAGGCCATGAAAACAAGTTAAAGCAGCAAGGATACGACCTACTTCTCTCCTTGTGCAATCAGTAGGGAGACCATCAACAAAAAGAATGTTGGACTCCTCAGGCGATAGACCATTGGCCACGATGCTATGGTTGATATTTAATGGAACATCTCTTCTTGCTAAAACTGGGCCTTCCAATGCTCTAATGCTATCTCCAGCAGCCAACCCACCAAGCCTGGTCATAGCATGACTGCTCACTCCAGCATGATCATCCAACCCATAACTACCAGAACGCAGTGGTAACATCTGAAGAAGGTCCAAACATGATAGGGATCAGTTGCCAAAAATATCACCAAGTGTGCATTTGTCAGTGCTCTGTGAATTCCTACATTGATCCGTGGCAAATCTGGTGTTCCCTGTGAGCCACTCATGTCCCACGTCTGATGGGATGCTGTGGAAGGAACATCAGATGGAATATAGCCAGGCACAGCAGCTCGTGGATCTATCATAACAAGAGCAGATAATCAATGGACAGAAGCGAAAACTATAAGTTTATCAAACACAACAATAGCTGCATTTAGCACACTAAAGTGAACAAAAATATGCACTTGAAAGATAGAGGAGCCAATTGCAGCTGCAATAGGTGTCTTGTTTCTCAAGTAGCTTAAATTATGATTGACCCTAACCACTTTCCAATACCTACGTTGCATGATACAAAACGCACCAGCTTTTTTATTCTATGTTGATTTCTTTTATTCCTTTTCAAAGACACATATTTTAAGCCTCAAACGAGTCCTCTCCTTTATCCAAATTTATTTGATTCTCTTAAACACATCTTGTCCAAATGAGAGAAGCATATCCTACAACTACTATCTGTCTTTTATATGAGTGGCTACATTCTCAGGCGAGCATGTCCTATATTCACAAGGATGTCAACCTTCTAATGCAAAATGAACTCATCACTGGAAAGGCAGGAGGGTGAAGAGAAAGTATCGTAATTCCATCTTCATCATTATGAGGTTAAGTTCATGCAAATACCAAACTGAGTGTCCCACAGTGATTTTATAGGATTACATCAATTACATATTTGTTGCTTCAACCTTTGTTAAAATAACTTGAAGATGCAAGAAGTGCAAGAAATCATTCTTGAACAGAGTAGTCAAAACTTGACAAACATATTTCCTCTCGCCTAAAGCACGAGGACAACAACAATGTAAAGTTCGAGTTGGTAACAGAATAAAAACAGGTAAAAGGAGACAAAAACATAGAAGATTGACAATCTGATCTCGATCAGGTAGGCTATGTAACCTAAACACTGCCTCAGAAGAACCTCCATGGGCACCTCAAGCATGTCAATTCCACCATCCATCAGAACCTCCATACTTCTACTATCTAAAAACGTTCCATCTTAAAACGTTTATTTATTATTTTTTTACTTTTTGAGAAAAGTTGTGTAACTTCTAATAAGTGTAAAAGCGATATAAAAATAATCAAAAAGTTAAAACAGTCTCTTCCAGTGTTCAAATTGGTTACAACCCTAAATTTTTTCACTCTTTCCCTCCCGCTCAGAAGAAAGAGTACATCACATGACGCGCGAAGAGAAATAAAATACTCTGGCAATAGAAGACCTGATCTAACTCCAAGTTGTTACCTTTCATTTCAGAGTTACCGCATCCCATCAGAACAATATAATGCTCTAGGGTCAATCCATTGCTCTTCCACCACTCAAACCAAATAAAGGAACGCCAAGAAATCAAGCTCTCGGCTGATCGAACAGCCAAAAATCTAAAAAAAAACAAAGTATTTAAAATAAAAAAATCAATTCTTATCCCCTTCTTCAGCATTACCCTAAAATGGCGCTCCTCGTCGCACTTAGCTACACATACACACACACAGAAGGCACGGTTGAGAGAGAGAGAGAGAGAGAGAGGGAGAAGGGTCACCTCTTTCCATCGAAGGGTGCCTCCAGTAAGGATCGGCGATCGCCGCAAGAAAAAATCACAGGGGACGGCGGGGCTGCAACTACAGGAGACCGGAGGCAGGGAAGAAAAAGCGGATGCGGAGTCCGTGCATTCGTGTCCATCACGCTTTATGATTGGCTCGGAGAATCCCGTTGATCTGCTTTAAGATCCACACTTGGATCCAGGGGATACCTTACTTAATAGTCGTGCGGAGACCGGATCGCCGCTTTGAGATCATGACCTGGACCTACGGACGGTCAGATTTCGTCCAGTACGATCAGCGATTCAAGACACGGTAAACGGCTAGATGTCTACCACGCCCAACCATGCTATCTTTGCATGGCACATCAACAATGCAGTACCGGTTTCGGAACATGGTTGATACGATCGATTCATCTTCCGAGGTTAAAATGAAGAATGGCTCAGATTACTGGAAAGTACATTAAAGAATAATACTTATTTTTAATGTCAACATACAACAATAATTTTGGCACCCTTGTTTTAACTTTATATA